ATACTGTGATAGCAAAGCTGCCTTGCAGATAGCAGCAAATCCAATTTATCACGAGAGAACAAAGCATATTGAAATAGACTGTTATTTCATAAGGTAGAAGATTCAAATGGTGATGGTTAAAACAATGCACGTATGCTCCAAGGACCAATTGGCAGATGTACTGACGAAAGGATTGGCAAGGCCACAACATGATGTCCAAGCTGGGAGAGCTCAATGTGTATGCACCTACTAGCTTGAGGGGGAGTGTTGAGAAGGGAATAACCTAGCACGTGAGGAGCACATGTGGTGATTAGTTAGTTAAGAGATAACAGATTATTGTTATTTGTTAAGTAGGTAGTACAACTATAATTAGCTGTCATTAACTAGGATAGTTAGTGAGCATTATATATAAAGGACTATGTACGTATTTTATTTACAACTTTTCAATACAACAGTAAAGTAGGTTACTGCATTTCCTCTCTTTCTCCTTCATTTCTTCCTCTAAGAAGCTCAGCTTCCATGGCTATCACCTCCTAAATTCGACAGTTGAGTCACTAAGCAAATGCAAGAAGGGTCAATAGAGCAATAGCATGACACATTTAATCATAAATTACAGGTCTGGAGACAAAAGAAGGTGACGTTATCTATCCAAGGGTAAATTATAATTTTAGCAAAGATGATTGGGATATTGGTTAACCGTTAAGAAAATCGAGTAAATTAAGTCTCGAACTGATAACCCAGCAATGAAATAAAAATCTTTGAATCGTTAACCCAATAATCCGATATTAATAATCTAATAATATCTTTTCGGTTCGAAATCAGTATTACCCGAAATATGCATCCCTAAGCGTCGTTTACTATTTTTCTTTGATTCCCGATCGAAGATGAATTTCATCTATATTGGAGTATATATTAATTTCATTTTCTATCTAGATCAGCCCTACATACAGTATTTACAGCAAATTAACTAGGGGCGCAAACATACTACTAGACTGCACAGGACAGGGATAAGTTAATGCTCGACAATCAAACAATTCAAAAAGGTTTTAAAAAACAGTTTGACCAGCACTTTAATAGTGGACTATCTATCGTGAAGTGATGTCGTACAACGTAACTTACTACTATTATAGTTTTGCATAGCCGGAAAAAAACAACATAAATTCTGAAAATTAAACTCTGAGTGACGGATTGTAGCAAACAGTTCAAAAGCATCATTAAAAAGCATAACAAAAATGATTTTTCAAATAAATCGCATCTATTATTTCCTTTGATTAAAGGCAAATCATAAAGTCTAAAGATGTGACTTTATAAAAAGGATACCATAGTCCCTACCATATATAGTTCAAAGCAAGAACTAACGTTAAAGGACTAAAGTTATAAAAGGGAAAATCATTAAAGACAAGAACATGAGTGAAGCAACTAAATACTCGATAAGAAGTGTCCGTTCCAGAAAAGGAAATAAAAAGAAAGGAAAACGATTGTTGTGTAAGTGATGTGAAAAGAGAAGTGGAGCTAGGAAAGGAATATTGAACGAAAATATGAAAAGAAGACTGGCCAAACAAAGCGTAAGTGGACGAAGTGTTCTAATAATTTGCACTGTCGTTTGCGTAAGTTGACGAAGTGTTGTAATAATTTGTAATGTCGTTTTTAAGATTGTACACTTACGTTATCTTCTCAAAATGATAACATGATACGTCGATACCTAAGTGTCTTCAATCTTTAAAGTTACGTTCTACAAAGTTGCATGATTAAAGGGTAAACTTCATTGATGAAAATGCAAAGACTTTTAAAATAATAAAGAGATGGTAATGCTTTCAATATTTTTATAACAATTTTGAACACTGGGGAAATACTATTACTTGAGTTATCGATATACTTCCATTTTGATCCTTGTATCATTAGGTATAAACACATGATCTTCAATTAAATTATGTTTGCGGTTTTAATCCTTAAAGCTAATCGAAGTTAATTGGATTAGATATTCTATACGATTTTAAAATGAGATTTTTTTCTTCCTATACCATATATGAAACTTTATTACCAAAAATGTGCACCATTTCTAATTTACCCGCCCTGTCCACATTTTTCCTACAATTATTATACCATTCATTAAATACTAATTATTAGTAGCTGAATCTTCCTAATTAGCCGTGCTAAAATTCAGGAACAGAATCTTCTAATTGATTTAGCCACAAATCAAATCTGTTCAAAAGCTCAATTCGTCGAAATCAAATCTGTTCAAAAGCTCAGATCTGTTCTTCGATATTTTCGCTTAAGACACAAATCAAAAGCTCAGTTCGTCGAAATCAGAAGCTCAATTTCAAATTGTAGAAATCAGTTCTGCAAAAGCTCTGTTCGTCGACATTCTCTCTACATCTCTCTCTATTTCTCAATCGTAAATTTCAGTAATACAAAGCAAATGAAAAGAGAGCAGCAATTCCACCATTGACAGCCATTAAAAAGCTTGAAGCTTTGAATTCAAATTTGGGTTTTCAAAAATCATTATTTGTTTGGATTGGGTGTTGTTGAAAATAATCAGGAATATGGTTTGGAGTTTATATCTCAATTTTGAGGGTGTGAAGATTAGACTTGATTTTGACTGAATTTTTGATTGAAACTCGAAGAAGAAGAAGAAGAAAAAGAAGACATATTGCAGAAATTGTAGATAAATTGTAGATAAATTATAGATTATTTGTATTCTGATTGTAGATGCTTTATTTTCTGTTTTCACAAAAAAAAAACTTCTACAAATCTTCTGAAAAAACGCAATTATGTCAAAAATCCCAATTATGCTACAATTGAATGGGAATTGGGATATAAAAATTCAATGTACCCAGTTTGTAGATATTTTATAGATAAATTGTAGATTATTTGTATTCTAATTGTAGATGCTTTGTTTTCTGTTTTCAGAAATTCAAAACGACTAAAACTTCTACAAAATCTTCTGCAAAAAAAACGCAATTATGTCGAAAACACCAATTAAGCTACAACTGAATGGGAATTGGGATATTAAAATTCAATGTACCTAGTTTGTAGATATTTAGTAGATAAATTATAGATTATTTGTATTCTGATTGTAGATGCTTTGTTTTCTGTTTTCACAAATCAAAAAACGACTAAAACTTCTACAAATCTTCTAGCTAAAAAACAGTCTACAATTTGGTATAAATGCAGTAATTATGTAGATACCCTTACAAATAATACTGCTTTATACATACTTAAAACTGATTTGTTGTATATTTGTAGAATTTTTGTGGAAAATATACTGAAAGATATGTTCTTTCAGTATATATCTAGCATATTCTCTGTTGCTAATTGATTCTGTTTTCATCTTATCTCTAGTTGAAATGGTTCTGATGGATGTTTGAATTGGGAAATGTTAAGGTAAGATTCCCAGTTAATATTACCGAACATTCCCAAGAAATGCAGTATTTATTCACCAAAAGTTGCTACTGATTTTCCATCACAACTAATAGCATCATCTGGAATATATGAAAGAACCAAAAGCAAGATTTTGGATTAGGCTTCAACGAGAAACTTATTGCATCGAAGAATGAATATTGGAGGAATCTGCATCCAAGAATGCCTGGATTAAGCACTTCAAATTCTATTCTCATATAAACAAAGAAGAATTTTCAGATTCCTTTANGTAGCATCAAAGAGTATAGACCTATATCATGTTGCACTGTACTATACAAGATCATCTCTAAAATCTTAACAAGTAGATTGCAGGAAGTATTATCAGAGGTGATAGATAATTGTCAAGCAGCTTTTGTGCCAGGAAGAGTGATAACAGATAATATCATCATGAGCCATGAATTAATAAAAGGATATGGAAGGAAGAATATATCTCCTAGGTGTATGCTCAAGATAGATATGCAGAAGGCCTATGATTCAGTAGAATGGGTATATGTGGAACAAGTAATGAGGCAGTTGGGGATTCCAGGAAGATATATAACCTGGGTGATGACATGCATAACCACAGTATCATACTCAGTCATTATAAATGGGAAACCACTCAAACCATTTGAAGCAAAGAGAGGGTTGAGGCAAGGGGACCCATTATCACCACTGCTCTTTGTCATAGCAATGGAGTACCTATGCAGATTACTTAAGCAGCTAAGGAATAACAAGAACTTCAAGTTTCATCCAAGGTGTGCTAAAGTGAATCTCATACAGCTAGGATTTGCTGATGATTTGCTACTATTTTGCAAGGGAGAGGAGAAGTCTGTGATGGAAATCCATAAGCAGTTTCAAGTTTTCTCCAAAGCTTCAGGTCTAATAGCTAACACAAGCAAGAGTAGTGTGTATTTTGGTGGTGTGGATAGCAGAGTGCAGTAAAGAATCTTGGAGACACTAGGATATACTAAAGGTGATCTACCTTTTAGATATCTTGGTGTCCCATTGAGTACAAAGAGGCTGTCAATAGCCCAGTGTGAACCATTGATAGATAGAACATTGAGTAGAGTGCAATGTTGGACAGCCAAGCTCCTATCTTATGCAGGGAGAGCAACACTGATCAAAAGTGTCCTGGGAACACTTTAGAACTTTTGGGCACAGGTTTTCATACTGCCTAAGAAGATCATACAATTCATTGAGACAATATGTAGGAGATTTCTGTTGACTGGGGATGCTAAACCAACAAGGGAGGCTCTGATTGCTTGGGACAGGTTATGTATGCCAAAATCAGCAGGGGGGATAAATTTCACTAACATTGAGAAATGGAACAAAGCTGCTATCTGTAAGTTGTTATGAAACTTATGTAAAGAAAAGGAGAAAGTATGCGTACAATGGGTTCATACTTACTACATAAAAGGTAATAGCATCTGGGAAATAGAACCTAGGAATGCATCCTGGGTAATACAGAAGATCTTCAAGGCAAAGGAGCAATTTCAAAAGGCAGGCTACTCAGAAGATGAAGTGAAGCAAATAGGGAAATTCTCCACCAGGCAGATGTATAAAAAACTACAAGGGAACTTCCAAAGGTGCCATGGAGAGGACTTGTGTGCAATAACAAGGGAATGCCTAAATGGACCTTCAACCTAAGGTTGGCAATCCTAGACAGACTAGCCACCAAGGAAAGACTTGCTAGATGGAGCAAACTGGATGACACAGTGTGTTCTTTGTGCAATCGAAGCAATGAAACAGTGCAACATCTTTTCTTTGAATGTGATACCACATGGGAACTTTGGCAGAAAATATTACAATGGCAAGGGATAGTGAAAAGAAAGAAGCAGTGGCACGAAGAAATACAATGGACAGCAGAGAAGGCAGCGGGGAAGAGTGCAGGTGCTGAACTATACAGAGTTGCAATGGCTGCAGTTGTCTATCATGTGTGGCAAGCTAGGAACAGATGTATATTTCAAAAGGAAAAGTTCAATGTGATAAAAACAGTTAAAATGGTAGTGCAGGAGATTCATATACGAGCTCAATGTTACGAAAAACTGGACAAGTACCTAAGCAATCTAAATTGGTACCCAGTATAGTATAGAAGGATTCAGTAGTGTAGGGGACAGAGTAGTATCCTTTAGTTGGGGCAGCATGTCCAACAGAGGAATATAGACAGGGAGTCGAGGATGTATACTGTAAATATTTACTTGGTAATAAAATCAGTTTAATTACCAAAAAAATTATGGTATAGAATTGATAATTTGGTATACTAAGTGTAATTAAGTCAAACCTTAAACATTGAGGGTAATAAGGTTTCCTATGTGGCATAGGAATGTAAAAATTCCTTTCATAAAAATATCTAATGTGCTACGTTATTTTTTGGGGTTTAAAGTAACGAATTATAAAAAATATAGGGATCGGAGTATAGCAATTTTGGTCTTTCGGTTATTGGAAAATTTTGATTTTGATCTTTGTAAATATATGGGTTAACACGTTGAACCGTTTTTTCCACTTCTCAACACATTGAACCTTCAATTAGTTAAAATGTGTGCATTTGGTTATGTAGGAAACATGCTATGTGTGGACTAATTTTAGAAGTATTATCCTCAAATATAAAGTAACAATATATAAATTAACATAGCACATGAGTAATTAAATGGTGGAACAGTTAATAATTATTTTTAATTTATAAAGATTCACAAGCAAAAGTCAAAATAATACACATTTCAAACAATTAAAGGTTAAATGTGCTTAGTCAAATATCACAGGGACTAAACTTGAAATCCATCAATAACTTATGGACAAAAAATGCTATTAATCCAAAAGTTAAATTGAATATTACATGTATAATCAGTGGTAGGGGTGTACATAGGTCGGATTGGTTCGGGTTTTGCAATTATCAAACCAAACCAATTGTGTGGGTTTTTAAATCTAAAGACCAAACCAAAGTAATAAAACCCGGGTTTTTCAATCTCGATTTTTCTCGGGTTTTCGGGTTATTCGGGGATTTCCGATATTTTTTTCCATTAAAATCTTCGTAGCACAAAATATATAACTTGTGCTCCCAATATTTCTTTAATCCTAGTAAGATACAACTATATAAGGTATTTTCCAAGAAAATAATACAAAATATGAGTTGTGTCATGGCATTATCCTAAAATATTCAACAATAAAGACAATAAAATCACATAATATAATATTGCTAATTAAAATGCCATAATAAAAATAAACATAATCTAAAAGTGCTAAGTCATGCTAAAATAAGTAGACTAATAAGGGAGTATTAATTACATGTCACGACCCAAAAATCCATTAAAGGTCGTGATGTCGCCTAACACGATGTCAGGCAAGCCAACAATAAATGATTATCTTAATTACTCATATTAATATTTGAAATCACAATTTTCTTTAATTACATAGTACAAAATGGGATTTACAAATGTGAATGAAAATATTTCCGCAACTACATTAATGAATAACCCGTAAGCATCCCCAAAATCCGGTGTCACAAGTGCATGAGCATAAACTAGGAAGTAAAATAAAATACCGCATCTGTCCTGAATGCAAATTAGACAGAAAAAAATAAATAACTCTGAAGAAGACTCTGCTGGCTGCGGATTGTAACTTGAAGTGCAGCTCACGGTAAGTCCCCGCATCATCTGCGCCTCCGCGCCCAAAGGACCACCAGACATAAATGTACATGCACAAAAATGTACAGCAAGTGTAGTATGAGTACGTAAATCAACGAGTACCCTAATAAATAACTAGCCTAACCTCGGAGGAGTAGTGACGAGGGGTCGACATCGACACTTACTAGTGGTCCAATAATATCGGGTTTAGTAAAGAGGTAAACAAATAGGCGGCTGAGTAAATAAACGAAATAAACAAGTATAAATACGTGGTACAACTCTCCTCTTTACAATAAACTCAAGCTCTCAATTAGCAAATTCCTCCTCAACCGGAGCATATATAGGTATATATAAAATGGACCTCACCCTACAGGTCGTTATAATTCAAATCAGGAAAAACTCACAGATACACTGGCTTCTTGCCAAATATTACGCACGATTTCATGAGGATTCTTTAAAGAAATGTCGAGGCGTACGGTCCGATCCCATCATAATCTGTGCACTGCCGAGGGTCGAACGGCACGAATCATATGTGCATCTATTAAACCGTCGAGGCGAACGACCCGTTCCCATGAGAGTGTGGTACATAAATCCTGCCGAGGCGAACGGTCTGATCCTATTAAAATAAGAAACTTAAACGGGTCCTTAACCCCCACTCACAAATTAACGTGTGAGTTATAATTTTTAAGAAAAATCGTTCGATGAAAGCGCATAGCGCGTGAGAGATCCGCAAGAGGAACACCATTATTCTGTGGAAAATCATGAAAATCGTAAAATCTCTACAATAGCAAGTCCATCACTTTACGCATGTCTAGTCTCAAGTCGTAATGTGAAATAAAAGAATTAAACGAGCAAGGATAATCCCTATAGTGCAAGTATAGCATGTTGTGAGCCTAAGTCTACCCGTACAAGTATAGTACGGGCTCTCGTCACCTTGTGTGTATGTAGTTCCCGCAACAAGTTACACATATTAAATATATCGCCTAGGGGTAGTTTCCCCCTCACAGAGTTAGATAGGAGACTTACCTCGCTTCGAAGTTCCATAACTGGCTCCAACGCCGCTCAAACACCTCAAACCGGTGCCCGTCGCTCCAAAACTAGTCAAACAAGGTGCAAACCAATAAAAATATACTCTAATACTCATAAAAATTCGATTTAAATAATTTCCCAACTTCGCTTGAAAGTCGATAATACAACCATCGGGCCCACGTGCCTGGATTCCGAAAAATTTCTAAGATAACCCTTACCCATAACATTTCGAACTCAAATATATAATTTATTCTCAATTCCATGCCCAAATTCGTGGCCAAAATCAAAAAATACCAATTTATAGGTTTTTCTTCAAAATTCCAAAATTCTATAAATTTTCATATCTAAATTCATATATATACATTGTATGTAACTCACAACTAGTAGAAACCACTTACCTCATGCTTGAAGATGAAAATGGTGCTCCAAAATCGCTCCTTGGTCGGATCTAATGGAGGAAATGAGATAAAAATGGCCAAAACCCCATTTTTTTTATAAAAGTCTCACTGCCCAGCGACACTCCACACCTGCGGTCACTTGACCGCTTCTGCGGTTCCGCAGGTGCGGCCAAATGCCGCTTCTGGGGTCCTCCTTCAGGGCCCTCAACTTCGCATCTGCGGCCCTAATGGCGCTTCTGCGCCTTCGCTTCTGTGACCCACGTGCGCAGCTGCGGTCCCAGCCAGAACCGCTTCTATGACACTCATGGCCGCTTCTGCGGCTCCGCACCTGCGCCCAAAACCCCGCAGGTGCGGTTGCACCAGATGACAACTGCTTCAGCAGTTTCCCCCAAGTCCAAACTCGATCTGTTGACCATCCGGAATCCACCTGAGGCCCCTGGGACCCTGTCCAATCACACTAACCAATCCCATAACATAACACAAACTTGCTCGAGGCCTCAAATCACATCAAACAATGTCAAAACCATGAATTGCACTCCAATTCAAGCTTAATGAACTTTAGAACTTCAAACTTCTTTACTCGATGCCGAAACCTATAAAATCACGTCCGATTGACCTCAAATTTTGCACACAAGTCACATTCGACATTACATACCTACTCCAACTTCTACAATCAGAATCCGACCCCAATATCAAAAAGTCCATTCCTGGTCAAACTTCCCAAAAACCTTCAAATTCCCACTTTCGCCAAATGACCCCAAAATAACTTACGGACCTCTAAATTCACATCCGGACATGCTCCTAAGACCAGAATCACCAGACGGAGCTATTCCCGAGCTCGAAATCCCAAACGGATACTGATAGCATTAAAATACACTTCAACCCAAATTTACGAAATCCTTCCAAAATGCCAGCCTTTCGCAATAGGCACTGAAATGCTCCCGGGTCATCCAAAACCCCATCTGGACATACGCCCAAGTCCAATATCATCATACGAATCTGTTGGAACCTTCAAATACCGATTCCGAAGTCATTTACTCAAAAATCAAAACTTGGTCAACTCTTTCAACTTAAAGCTTCCGAAATGAGAATTTCCTTCTAAATCAACTCCGAACTTCCCGAAATTGACTTCCGACCACCCGTACAGGTCATAATACCTGAAGTGAAGCTACTCAAGGCCTCAAACCGCTGAACGGCGTGCTAGGTCTCAAAACGACCGGTCGGGTCGTTATATTCTCTCCAACTTAAACATACGTTCGTCCTCGAACGTGCTAATGACTGCTCCGGAGTTGTCCAAAATCACTGTTTAACACCTTGTGCACCTACCCGTGCCAGCATGACCCAGTTGAGCGCATTAGCTCGAGCCAGACTGAAGATCCTTTTTAGAACCAAAATTCCAACATCCGGAATTCTCTACCAGGCCTATTTCCAACATACGAAGACCGTATCAATCACTACACATTGTACCAAACATGATTGTATACCTTTACTGAATTCACACCATGCACCGCGTAACTCATTTGCCCAAGTCAATCTTCCCCAAGCACAAGAGCTAAATTTTTCACTGACTCGACGCCCGTAGTATACCTCACAGCAGATATAAGCCTTGTTCCAACTCTTGCAATACAGCCGCGGTGGAAGAGATGTGTACAAACTCATAACCACCTATCGAGTCACAAATTATGGAGTCTCTCCTCTTGACAAGAACCGTTACCTCATTCTGCACTGAATAATGACATTTGCTCTTTATCATGCCTTATATAAATCCGATCGCACTGATCCCCGGTCCAATAATCTCGTCTCACCCAGTACAAGCTGCTCAGGCAATAAGCTACCTCAGACACTGCCAAAAGTCTCATATGATGCCACATATGCCAACAAGCTACAAACTCGAATGTGATACATAAGGAAAACAAACTCTGGAAGGAACTACTCAACCCACGTAACTAATTAAACAACCGAAAAAGGTGCTATGAACCTTCCTTAGAAAATGAGAGACAAAACACACAAGGAGAGATATGGGGAACTGTACTCAACATCACAGCGTTGCGACGTGCAACCCGATCCAACCATGATGCCCATGGAGGCGTGCCACCCGATCCAAACAACATACCTGTGGCGGCATGCCACCCGATATACACATAATAATCTATTAATAAATACTTACCGAGATAGAATGCTCATACCTATGAAATACCCGAATTCCAACCACAAGCACGCCAAGTGCATAATACCATCCTTGGGGAGACAGATAGCGCCATACGCTACAAAACTCAAGCGCGACTAAGGTGGAATAAATGACCTGCATCTCGAGAGCCATCCTGCTCATATAACGCCGCAAGCTACACGGGACCACAACACATGTGCGAATAATCAAGCCGTCTCACAACCCACATAGCACAATAAAGTATTACATGGAATAGTTGACGACAAAAATAACATCCAAAGCCCAAAGACTTCTCCATAAGCAACGCTATGCTGAAATGAATACACCCGACCTGATATAGAGCACACATTCACATTTAGATCCATCCATGGACCTTAAGCCGATTCCAATCGTACTGCACTGGGCTAATAACATTTCAAGGATCTACCATAACCCTTTTCTCATGACACACAAGAACAATCGTCGAATCCGGAACAAACTTCCACAATTCACAACCAAATGAATAGATTGCATTCCAGGCCGAAACTCTCACATTAGCGATAGTACCATAATCTCCATACTTGGTTTCAATATTTAATCAATCAAGTGACAACATGTCACACTTATACAATTTTCCCATGGGATACGCTCCCACGACCTTTCGCACCAGGTAACAAGTCTGCACATCCATACCACCAGCCATACTAATGTTGTAAAGCAAATCAAGAATCCGCTAATCAGTACACAAAACCTCTTACACAGTACACCGATCTCAGGTGACGCTAAAGAAAATACCAACTTACTCTAAACATCTGAATCCTCTCATGCTCATCCGAGCTCGTGACATTCTTGTCAACACCAAACTGCAACCTTGATCCTCAACTTTCAAATTCCATGCCGCTCACCGCACCTATCCTACCAATACACGAGAGCACAAGAATTTCATCATAACTCCGAACCACTAATAGGATACACACTTCATCATATAGAAACCTTTCACTTAACTCATTTCAGGAGAATCATTGCAACACGTGACCGAATTCCCATAAACGCAGAAATTATGAACCTCAAGTAGTGGTCTAAACCACCATAACTCTTCCGGGATCCATCTATACATAACAGGCCATTATAATCGAATGCCTCCAATTAAATCAGATTACGGCGGCCGTCAAGCCTCGCACATACCGCCACAAATCACCTACTTAACTTAACACGTTGAAGGAACTGATCATTGCCACCACCATGCCGATCTAACCATTGCTAACCGAACCTTCTTCTTCTAATTCACTCTGGACTTTCCTTAGAGATAACAATAGCTCCATTCAAATATAACGAACTCAATCCTCGCTCATCCCGAGTGATCCCATTTCACGAGACCACACTGTCTCAAAACCCACGAACCATCTCATACCCTCCTTGTGCGCACATTCGCATCTTCAACTAGTACACCTATTCTGATAATTTCTCTATGAATCCGAAGTTATTTTCTCCCATTCCTCCCAAATGCTGCACCATATACCGATAATAACATAGAACACTCCAAGCCGCTTTCATTATCCACTGCAGAAGCTCGATACTTAACCATACTACACACTCAAAATCCTTAGGCACCGCACTTTAAATTTTTGGATCCACTATGACCGTTGTTGAGAGTCACCCACTCCGACTTGGTCCCGAATATAATCAACTCCAAAGCCCTGCTAGCATATGAACACCCTCTCAAAGAAGCACCCGGCCGAATCACTTTCCTTGTACATCACATCTACATGAAGCATAAACTCTGAGTCTTCCCAAAGCCTGAACACAAATCGATAAGACCAAATATAGCACACATTCCCCAAATCCTTTGCTCAAATTACCACTGATGTTTTCTTTCCTTAATCGTAATAACCTACCAATATACCTATAACTAGAAACCTCACAAGTAGACAACCATGCGATCCAATCGTAGACGGTGGGGCTCTCCCACTTAGCTTGAAGCTACAATTACATAACCCTGGAAACCACCAAGACTCCTTCTTCCTCATTGACATGATCTCGCACAATCGACCCACCAAATTTCTCAAAATCTTCCTGTTAAACATTTTATAAACACTCTGAATCACTAGCCACATTTACATATTCGATCCCTTACCGGATAGCCAGTAGAATTCTTTGTAAAAGCTTCGTCAACACCACGCAACCACTATCCTGCTCACAGGAGATAACCCACATGTGGAAATCCCATACCGACATCACCCAACGATGCTGCACTGGGTACGATTACTACAAAATCAGTAAACCCTCCTGAGCCTGTGCCCATTCACTAGTTGTACAAGTCTGTTCACTCCCCATCGACATCACCAAAAGTGCGACAATATATTCCAACCCGAAGTCATGTTGCATTCCTCTTCATATCAAGCAACTCCTTTCTGTCATATCCAATCTTCCCCAGTATAGTAGCCAACGTTCCAAATTAAGCCCGTAGACCTAGTCACTGTCCACCATGAATCCCAAATCACTCTAAACTTTCCTCAAGGCGTGTAGCTATCCTACCACAGAACCCATATACTACTCTCCTACTTTGGTCAAACCCTCTCCTTTAAGCAACTACTTGACTTCTGTTTCTCACACTTAGCCTTCTAGAAATTTAACCACCACAAGACACCTCCCACATGTCCTTCCTCATCCTTCGCTGCCCAGTTGTTGCCTTAAATCAAAATCCGTCTCTGTAGCACTTGAACCAATAGATCGCTACCAACTTTAAACCTCTCCGAACATCATCCTTCTTGAGCCATCAACACTAGGAACACCAATTCGATCCAGAACCACTGCGCACCGCGATCTCTGATTGTCATTTCCGCGGCACCATTTCACAATACCCTGTCCCAAAGGCAAATTGAAGAAGACCATAACACCGGCGAACTTAACACATCCAATCAAGGACGACCACACCACATCTGTCATGACTCAACTCCATGTCAGGCCGTGATGGCATCCAGCACGGTTGCTACACAAGCCAACAGTGAACAACTTAGTGATTTCCCATTTTATTAAGCAATCCCAACATCTAATTTTACTTAAATTTAAAGCATTTGATAAATAGCGGATTTTTAAGTCAAACAAAATGGAAACAACTAGAAGCAATCATAACTATAGAAATGCAAATCAAAA